TGAGAATTGCCAAATTTTCTTCAATAACATGTTTATTTTTTAGTACAGTTATGAATATTTTATCTGGAAAATTTCAGAAAGTTTGGATCGTAAAATTTTTCGGAAAAATTGAAGGAGAGGTATTCAGAGATTTTTCTGAAAATTCGCGTTGTATTAAAGGAGATTTGGCAACGTCTGAGGGCTCGTGTGGCGGTCTTCTTTAGAACGGCAGTATGGATAATTGTGTGTACGGCCGAGCTTTTCTCTCAGAGTAAGTAAAGCTGGTTTCTCTTGATATTAGCTGTAGAAATCATATGTGAGGTATGGAACATGTTAATTTCACCGCGTATTATTTCCATTTTCCTGCATTTTCGTCTTGCTACATCTACTTTCATCCGAAAAATTAATTCTGAATTAAAGAAAAATAACAGAAAAACATGAAATTAACCTTTGTGTGGAAAATTTTTCCTTCAGTCAAAGGAGCATTTCTTGGTTTTCCTTCATATTTGTACAGTCTGTGAATTATACCTTCTTTACTCTCTCAAGGAATAATTATTATTCTCGTTATATCGCGCTTCAACTGTAAATGTTCCGAATCTTTCGCTGATTCAATTCAAAGGCACAAACTTTCATACTTTAATTAGTTCATCTAGGAATCTTATGATGAGATTCATATTGCCGGCCGGCCAGGTTGGCCTAGTGGTCAGCGCGTCTGACTCCAGGCCAATAGGTCCCGGGTTCAAACCCTGCTGCTGGCGACAAATTTTCACGGAACTGACGAGTGGATCTGCTAAAACAGACTTCACTTGGCCATAATCCCTAAAAATTTGAGAGCCGAGAGCATAAATGGGTAGTTTTGGCAGCTTTACTGGGCTTTTTCCGATAAGCCGCGCTGAAATTGGCAAAAAAAAAAAGAAAAAAAAGAGGCGACTACCAGGAAAGGAAGAATTTACCATAAAAGCCAGATAGTATTAATAAGAACATGAAACGCAGCAGTATCAAGCTAGAGCAAAAGAGTCGCGTATTATACGTTGTTAAGAAAAATCGAGTTGTTAATTTTCTCGACTTGCTATTGACAAAGGGCATGATTTTTAAAGCAATTAACAATTCGAGCCTGGAAGATGTTCTTGCACTATAAACGAAGAATTGAAGGCGCTCTGTCCTTTTAGATCCTCGTAGAGCTATCCGCGGAGTGCTTGGAGATTCAAAACGCCTTCACATTCTTGCATATGCAACATGGACATCTACAAAGCTCGAATAGTTGCATCCATGCGCCTTAATGAAATTCGTTCAGAATTCGTAGCGCTAATATGTCGGCTAAATATGAATGAACAATTCGGCTGTGATTTCTAGAGCCAGAAGTTTAGAAATTACATGGATCTTGATAGCGAAAAGAAAGTTCAAACTGACTTTTTGATGCTTAAAAATTGTAATGTAAGGTAAATTTTTCACAGATTATGCATCAAGACTATAGTTTCACGTAAAATCATCTGTATCTCATTTTTTTTCAAAAACTGCTTTATGCTCTCTGTCCTCCAAGCCCTAATTTCAAAAGTTATGCATTAAATGGGAGGCAATGGGGCCACCAAGGCCGTTTCATTGTAAATTCCACGAGAGTGTAGCCACGACTCTTTTGCTCTAAACTACTGATAAATCAACTAGTAAAGTAGCTGCTACCACCAGAAAAATAAAGTCAAGGTCTCCTCTTACCTAGACGCTGGAAACACAAATAAATGAATTAGAGATGCTTGAAAGACATACGCAAGGAACATCATGCTGCTGGAAAGAAGTTTGCGATTAATCCAACGGACGCGGGGCAGTGCTGAACAGATGTGGCTCCAAGTTGCACAATTTTAACACCAATAATTCCGCGAACAGGGGAAGAACTTTTCTCGAAAATGGAGAAGACGGTGGGTTGAAACGGACCGGGGGGGGGAGGGTTCCACTGCACCGATGAAACTGCACTGGGAGAGGGGCAGAGGTAACTAAGGATGGAGGGGGGAGGGAGGCACGCACATCACTAAACCGAACCAGCCGCGATTGAGGAATGACACTTTTTCACTTATGGGGGTCCTAATTATCGAACACAGCACAATTCACACTTTAAAATTTTTGAAAGAGAGGAGATCCACGAGGTTGGGGGTGAATTTACTCTTCAAAGCGAAGGGGAAATTCATCGAGTAGGGATGAATATCACTGCCTGCGGAAAGATTTTCGTTAGTGAATGGAACATTTTTCGAGCACTTCGGACCTTTGTAGCCTTGAGGGAAAATTGCGAAATATAAAAAGGAATATGTGAAAAAAACTCATAAAAGAATGAAATCACTGGAATAATTGCAATAAAAAATTGAGAGAGTGTGATATTAAGCGAAAAGTTGGGGGAGAGGAAGGAAAAAGTACAATGACACCGAACTGAATAATGCATTTGGTAAATATAAGAGAAATTGGAGGATAGGAAGGAATCGAGGATGGTTTTGAGCTGGACTTGTTTGACACTTTCGTCCCATTTTCTCATGCTCGAATGTGCTGGGTGAGTTGATTTTGGGTCATTTATAAAAATTCTTTACGGTGCAAGTTTGGCTGTAAAATGCGCGATTTAAAGGTGTGACACTTTCAAGAATCAGATTTACTGGAATTACTATTTGGAGGAACTATGATGCCCTGTTTTGAAGAATGCGTATCTCTAAATGCGATGTTGAAAATCTCGGCTAATGTGTTATTTTTTATAAAAGGACATCTAACAAATGATTTCTCTTGTGAATTTTCTGTGAATTTTCTTCACGTGATAAAACCAATTCATAAAGAATTCTATAGATATCTTTTAGTTCATTCCCTTACAAAAAAACTAGAAGCATAAACTTATGGTCTGTTAGTCATTAAAATACAAAATAAGTGGCACTCCTTTCAGCCTCAGCTCACCGAGTAATTTTGAAGCTGTGAGAAAATAGGACTCGTCATCCAAAAAAGAGGGATTTTAATTTTTGCAAATTCATATTCCATTTAAACCGCGAGGAAGGAAATACGTAATTTAGAACCTTTTTTTTCTGGAAGATCAAAATTTAGTCGTAAAAGATTTTTTAAACCGTGCTTTACAAACGGAACATTGGCTCACGTCAACAGAAAAAAATTATTTTGCTGATGAAATAGCCTTTGAGCTCTACTGCCACCAATTTGTGGCAGCGTTCTTAATCCTAATGCCGAGCAATTATTGAAAAAGAAAAGCTGTCAAAAAGTATCAATAAACAAGTTCTGAATAATTACATCTTCAGTCGATGTAAAGAGGATTTTCATTGATTTTACACGATCCTCTTCCAAGTTCTACTGAATTTTGCAAAAATTAAAATATTCCTGATTTTTTGAGCGTGCAAACAAGTCTCTCGCAGAAAGAGGAAAATGAAATACGATAATCTCAAAAATTGTGGGGAAAAACTTGTCATACTAGGTGTGCTGAATTAGAAGCCGGATTTTGATGATTACTAGCCCACCCTGCGTCCTAACAAAGTTTTCTCTGGCTTTCCAGAAAATCAATAATCTACTTGAGAATTTTTCGATCACAAACCTGCAAAATTTCAGTCAGTTTTATCGGTATACATCTTAAAGTAAGGCAAACTCATGAGTGCTCAGGTACTTTCATATTTTTCCAACAATAAGGAATATATCGTTGGTATTTATGTAAACATGTGGGTTTCACAATGCACTTCGAACTACCGATACTATTTTGAAAATTGAAAAATTGAGCGCCCGTAATTCTGACACCCGGCACTTGTCCAATGCTGGTTCGTTCAATGTTAACGAACTTTTCAAACAGATTTATTCGAGTCACATTGTGTTGTCAAAAAGAAACATGGGTGCATTGAAAAAATACTCATCTAGAGAGAGAGAGAGAGGAATTTGTTTCAGATGTCACTTTAAAAAAACAATATAAGTCGGTCCTTTTTCAACAAACAGCGAAGTGCTTTACTTGCGGTAAAGCCAATTTTATACCCCTAAAAATAAGGATTTGTTGAACGACTAATTGCCGTTCGATGGACACAATTTCACTTTTTGCAATAATTTATAAAATTCATGAATGCTGATTTTTTTTTTTTTTTTTTTTTTTTTTTTTTTTTTTTTTTACGGAAATAAATACAGGTTTCATAGCTGTCTATCTTTTTGTAGTTCTGTAGTTTTTGTAGAGATTGTAGTTCCTAATGGAAAATAATTAGAGCCGGCCAGGTTGGTCTAGCGGTCAGCGCGTCTGGCTCCAGGTCAATAGGTCTCGGGTTCGAATCCCGGTGGAGGCGACAAATTTTCACGGAACTGACGAGTGGATCTGCAGGAACAGATTCCACTCAGCCTTAATCTCTGAAAATTTGAAAGCCGGAGCGTGGATGTCCCTATCGCCCTGTTGTTCGAGGACATTAAATCTCTGTCTATAGTTGGCTGTAGAACCAGAGTGAGCCTCTTAGTAACAAACATTTCTTTCTTTTAATGTAGCAAGAATAATTGTATGTGCTCTTCCCTTCGTGTCAAGATTCTATTCAAAGGAAAGTATTATAGAGATAATTATGATTAACCCATTAAACAAAATTCTAACTTTAACTTTTATCACCTCAATCATAGTAACCACGGGCTATTCATTATTCCGGGGGAAGAGGTATAAACCATTAAACCTGAAAAAAAAAGAAAGGGGGGAAAAATAGTCCAGTTGTTAGAAAGACACGAAAATAGCGGCTGACTCAAGGGCAGGACTTGCCTTGCCAGAAGCGGCGGACCGACAAAGCTGCCTGAAATTTTGCAGTTCAGTAATGGAAAAGTTCTCAATGAGATTATTGACTTTCCGGAGAGCCGAAGAGAATTCGTTGAGACGCAAAGCGGGCCTCGGGGATCAGGAAAACGCGGCTCCTGACCGGGCGCACCTCGTATGCCATGAATTGAACTAGAGCTTGAATGAGATTAAAATTTCGAAATAAAAAGAGGTAAGTCGTTCAAGAAAGAGAGTGGCTGTGAGCCGGAGCAGGGCCCGGGGGTGTCGGACTCACCTATAAATAAGAAAAAAATGAGCAAGCCTAGTTCCCTCATGGAGGCTTTTAACGTTCGACCCAGGATCTGGAGGCCCTTGGAGTGACGGGACAATTTGAATATTCGAAAAACGCGGACTAATCTAATGACCCTAAGGATGGCCAGGGACATGGCCTGGTTCGTCGACTTGTCCTGCGGGGAGACGGGGGCCTTCGGGTGGTTGATGGCGTCCTCCTCCTCTGCTACGACCGTGGCCAGGGTGATGAAGTACGGAATGATGGCGATTATATCGATGATGTTCATGACGTCGCCGCAAAAGTTGAACTTGTTCGGGCAGGCCAGGAACCGCACCGTCAGCTCGAACGAGAACCAGACGATGCACACCGTTTCGATCAGGAAGAACGGGTCCGTCATGTCCGGTACCTGCCGAAAACACAAAACAACACCCTCTTAACCCATTGACGCATGATTTAAGGCGATTCGATGGACGCCATATTTTGTGTCAGAACGGCATGCGATATATCGCATCAATTGGACGTATTTCTACCAAACAGACTTATGTGGAGGTGAGAAATATGGGGTGTGCTCGTCGAAGCTGAATAAGAAGCAATGTAAAAGTGGGCGTGATTCCTTTTGTAGAATTGGAAAAGCGGGATATTACATTCTATCAAAGAGACCTATGTGCCAACTGAATGCGGGAGTCATGAGCCGCGGGCATGGCAAGAGAGCCTTGTGCACAGGGCTCATGAGTTAAGGGCTCACTCTAGCGATCTCCTCGTCGTGCCGGCGCTCGTTCGTTGTCGCTGACGTCACTGGCGCTTTATTATTCCCATTCACTCTTACGCAAAGAGAACTAACGAGCACACCCCACATTTCTCACTTGCATATAGGTCTGTTTGGTAGAAATACGTCCAATTGGTTCCATTTTTTCAGCTACTCGTCATTTTTCTTCAATTTTGAGATCGCAATTCTGTTGTCAGGAGACTAAAGCACTCACTTACCAATTTTAACAAAGAAATTCAACGTAATAAAGGCGTGGTTTTTTTAGAGAGAAAACATCGCATTCTATACTGATATCGAAACTGCACTCGAATGCTATATTTTCTCTCTAAAAAAACCACGCCTTTACTACGTTGAATTTCTTTGTTAAAATTGGTAAGTGAGTGCTTTAGTCTCCTGACAACAGAATTGGGATCTCAAAATTCGAGAAAAAAGACGAGTAGCTGAAAAAATGGAACCAATTGATGCGATTTATCGCATGTCGTTCTGACACAAAATATGGTGTCCATCGAATCACCTTAATTTGACGAAAATCAGTAACTTTGAGCACTTCAAAATGGACTGAGTTAAGCGGAAAGGAACCAACCCACATTTTGGAAAAAATTGGGTTATGAGTGGTTTTGAACTCAACCACTGCTCTACTATCTATCGCCAAAAATTCAAAATTTTTGCTGGGGCAAATTTTGCAGAAATTGAACTTGAAGTTTATCTTTTACATTGAGTCTTATGCAGGAGCCAAACTTTAAACCTCTTTCTCTAGGTTCGATCCCGATGTGGCTTGGTTCCTTTCTGTTTAACTCTGTCCAAATAATCCAGAAATTCTTTCTCTAAGGGTGAAAATTGACACGATAAGCATTCACAATACAACGTTTGAGACAAATGGTGAAAACTTTGAAAAAACTGATTTTTTGTATTGTGGTTTATAGCTCTCAAAGTCGCAATAATCGCAAAATCAGCGAAAATCAGAAACTTGACTTACGATCGGTTCCATCAAAAGTTCTAAAATTTCATCGCCAGCGTATGTCGTACCTCGCACGTTTATTCAGATTGCATTTTTCAAAAAGGAACCAAGAGCATTCCAATGTCGCCAAGGTTTTGCAACTTTTTTTTTTACCTCGCGCATATAAACGGATCATCTAAAAAAGTTTTATCTTTACTCCCTCTTAAGGCATGTACTTAATTGTGCAGGAATAGTGCTAAATTTGTAAACAAAGATGTGCTGAATAAATAGTCCAAAAAAGAAAAAAAATATTTACTCCCAAAAACTATACATTCAAGACAAATATTACTTTCGTAAATATACTTTTTTGCACAGAATGTAAATTGCACAACCCAGCAACATTAAAATGCTCTTATTCCTCTTTTCAAAATGGAATCCATTTGCAGACGTGCTACGTATTCTTTAATGCTCGACATCTAAAATGGACGTATTTCTATCAAACGGAACTGCGTGCATTGTGACGTGAGCCCTGTAATGCATACATTCTTATGAGTCGAAGGGCTCATGTCTCAATGCACATAGTTCCGTTTTATAGAAATACGTCCAAACGCGTGACACGACTATTTTAACTTCTAGGTGGCTAACAGTGCCTAGTCACCGAGTTGAAGGCGCTCTCTGTTTCTCTCTAATAAACCAATGCTTTCACCTACGAAAGGCTGAAAGGTCCGCTGCACACTAGAGTTACAGACGAGAAACGCTCGCAGTGAGGTCCGGCGTTGCGTACAGTGGATGAGAAAAAGTACTCGCAATTATGACGATACGTGAGTCAGATGTGTCACATGCTTAACCTCGCGTCACATGCTCCTCTCCATTCCATCCTACGTCATTATCCTTGCGAACTACTTTCATTTTTCTTTCTCTTCTTCCTCTTGTTTTCACCTTCTTCTTTCTCTCCTTCTTCTTCTAAATAATCTTCACTTTCCTATAATTTTTGTGTATTTTCCTATTTCACACATATTTGGAGATTTAACCTTCTGCAACTGCACAAGTCTCGCTTTAGAACTTAAAACGTAAATATGACTGGTTTAAAATCAATGGCTTCAGTGCGAAATCACGTATCTCCATTGCGGTGTCTCAAAATGTTCGCTTCTTTTTCAGATTTTCGAGGGAAAAACAGGGTGTCTCTTAAGATTTCATGTCGGATTTTCCCAATATTTTTCTGATTTTTCCTGCTATTTTTGGAAAAAAATGCTGATTTTTCGCTCGAATAAATTGATCTTTATTCGATTTAAAAAAATCAACATATTTAATGAAATGAATCAAATGTTTGAAAATTGCTTAAAGCACTCAGAATCTCCTAATCAATAATCAATTTTCCTGATGACATCTTTAATGATATTTTCCGTCTTTTAATGACAGTAGACACCTTGAACAAGCCACGTTTATAGCTTGAAATTTGCACAGAATATTCTGCTAACGGGGAGGGAAAATCCAGGAGAATTTCGATGAATTACGTTGACTGGTTTTTCAAGGAAACCTGGAAGTATGCCAGAAATTCTACAATGTCGCAAACGCGACACACGGAAAAAATTAAATTGCTGATTTAACAATTCAATTGCTAAAATATGTGCTTGAAATATTTCAACGTAAATTTCACAAAACAAAAATGCTACTTTAACCGTGGTTAAATTAGCTTACAATAATGGTTGAAGTAGCATTTTTGTGTTGTAAAAACTACATTGAAATATTTTTTTTTTTTTTTTTTTTTTTTTTTTTTTTATTCATAGAAAATATAACAATTAGTATACAAATAATCAAGCTGTTCTTAAAAACTCAAATATGTGAGTTGTTGGAAGTTATGGATACATCGTATCTTATAAAAGTTGAAATAACATTGAAATATTGCAGTCACTTTTTTTTTGGCAATTTAACCGTTACATCAGCAATTTAATTTTTTCCGTGCACTTAATACGTGACAAGACGACACGAGATACGTGATTTCGCGTTTTGGCCATGGCCATGGGTATGATCTGAAGGGAAATGGATGCTCACCTCGTCCTCCTCGATTTTGGTGAGGTTGGTGGTGGTGTTGAAGACTTTGTAGTGTTTGAACTCGGGGAGAGTTTCGAGGCAGAAGATGACGATGGAGAGGAGGATGACGAAGACGGAAATGATTGCGACGACGCGGGCCGCCTGACTCGATTCTGGGTACTCGAACAAGAGCCACACTTTCCGCTGCAGCTCGTGGTTCGGCAGCGGCTTCTCCTCTTCCTTGATGAAACCCTCGTCCTCCCTGAAACACCACCAAACACATCCCATTACTACACAATTCAATAACACAGCACAACAAATTTTGGATTTTGGTTTGTCCTTCGAACCAAGCCAATTTTTTTCGATTACTAGGTGATATAGAAGTCCGAAAATGCCCGTAATAACTTCAGGAAAATTGGCTGGTGCTCAGGGCGCCGCCATTTTGAATTTTCTAAAATTGAGAAAACCCACGATTAGTTTTTTGAAAATATCTCCTCAACGGTTAATCCTACCAAAAAAACGAAAAAACAGAAGAGGGTGATTTCGATAGGAAATTTTATACTCTTTCTGCTGTTTTTTTTTTTTTTTTTTTTGTAAGATTAACCGTTGAGGAGTTATTTCCAAAAAACTGATAGTGGGTTTTCTCGATTTTTGAAAATTCAAAATGGCGGCGCCCTGAGCACCAGCCATTTTTCCTGAAGTTATTATGGGCATTTTCGGACTTCTATTTCACCTAGGAATCGAAAAAAATTTGTTTGATTCGAGGGACCGAACCCATGTTGAGCGGTGTAATGGGCCTGTTGCACCAATTTTTTTTATTGCTTTAATCGAAAGATTTAAGGCTCCTGATGTCACGGGAATTTTCCCGGAGTTTTTTGATAACCGGAAACCCCCAAAAAATCAACTTAAAAACGCCTCAAAATTTGGATTTTCTAAACGGTCGTTTCGGGTCCGCCATTGTTGTGACGTGAAATGATATGACAGACCTGGTTTCTTCATCACTTACAATGTACTTTCCCGTAAGGAAATGACAGCCGCTTTTCAAATGCAAATATCGAGTCAATCGATAATTTTTTGATCAAAATGGAAAACAGGAATGGATTCCTCGTACGTTTAAATGGTTAAAAACCTTCATTAGATAAATTAGAACCGACGGGATAAACCCTATTATTAAGGAAGACTGCAGTCAATGGGCGATTGTTTACATCTGCTTAGTGATAACAGACATGGACATTAGCTCAATATTTGGCCATTTTCATGAGTTTTCACTTTTTTGTCACTATTTGAAGGTAAGTTTATTTTGTAAATCAATTGTTTAGTGCCTTAGGATCATGTTAAAAGCTGTAAAGGTATACTTTGTTACTTATTAATTCAGATCACACTCCGGCAGTCCAACGCTCAAACCTGGATGTAGCGAGTCAGTTGTTACCTCTTAATATTTCACCCTTTAATGCTTCACTGAAGACACCAAAATGATAGTATCAATCATTGATGATGAAAAAAACTTACCTTTGACAATACTGATGAGATGAGGAGACCGGTATGTTTTAGCTGGAGGCAAGGAAAGTAGACGTAGGATCCTCCTTCGGTTACCAGACTTTATCGATAAATTTCTCTGTACAGTGTTACATTTAAAACACACAGGATTTTAAAAAAACATAAGTTTATAAAACGTGGGAACGTTCTGAATGATATTGAGATGTTTGTTGAAAAGTTAAGAATGATTTACACGCATTGAGAGAACATCCATGGTTTGAGCGTTGGACTGCCGGAGTGTGTTCTGAATTAATAAGTAACAAAGTATACCTTTACAGCTTTTAACATGATCCTAAGGCACTAAACAATTGATTTACAAAATAAACTTACCTTCAAATAGTGACAAAAAAGTGAAAACTCATGAAAATTGCCAAATATTGAGCCATGTCCATGTCTGTTATCACTAAGCAGATGTAAACAATCGCCCATTGACTGCAGTCTTCCTTAATAATAGGGTTTATCCCGTCGGTTCTAATTTATCTAATGAAGGTTTTTAACCATTTAAACGTACGAGGAATCCATTCCTGTTTTCCATTTTGATCAAAAAATTATCGATTGACTCGATATTTGCATTTGAAAAGCGGCTGTCATTTCCTTACGGGAAAATACATTGTAAGTGATGAAGAAACCAGGTCTGTCATATCATTTCACGTCACAAGCACAGAATACATATGGCTCCACCAATCACAAGTATGGCGGTTGAAAAACGACCGTTTTGAATGGGTCGGTTCCAAAAACAGCTTTTTTTGAGTTTGAGAGGTCATTTCAAGGTTTTTTAGTAGCGCCATCGTTCTTTTCGTGAAATTTGCCATAACAATCAGCCATCAATTTGCAAATCCCCGCACCTTGCAACAGGCCCATTAGCCACACAGTAAGAAAAAGTACCAAATATTCGGCGATAATGTGGGAAATTAATTCGAAAAAACTGCAGCTGTCAAATACTGTGGTTAAACACATAACCACACTAGAGACCTATACAACGGACCACCAGACCAGGTAAGCATGTTGGGAATGTGCAATCATGTTTCTTCACCAGAATTTCAAGTAAAAAAACATTCACGTTTCAAAAATAACAGAAATCAACTCCTATGTAAGATTTTAACTTCTTTATTTTATATTAGTAACGGTTAATTAGAATTGCCCGGTTACAAGTATCGCAATACGCTACGTTACATTGGGCCAATGAATTTCCTTCAATTAGCCGGGTATGCAAAATGACTGTCGTGGCGCACGAATAGTGGTATCATAATTTCGCGTAAAGATTACGCAGTGGGTTGAAGGCGCTCTTCTGTATCGTATCGTATCGTATCTGCATGCGTGATTTTCATATAGCATGAGACTGTCATGATAACGTTTGGTGCGCGATTTAACTCACGTAGATGATTGCGTTTTCATGAGCAGGTGGTTTGAATACACGCGTCAAGAAACATTAAATATCTTAACTAGGTGTTAATTTCAGTTATTTTCGTTGCGCAAATCATTTTCTTCTTAAAATTTTGGTCAAAATATATGTATTAGAACGCTTAACTTCGCACTTTGTCGAGTGGTCCAATCAGGAGGTGGCGATGATAGAGCAGAGCATTCGAAGCAACCTAAACGCAGATTCTACACAGTAAGAAAAAGTAACCAATTTTTTTTGTGTTCTTTGGGGAAGTAAAACACGAAGTAACACAAGTTATTGGTTAAATTTTGTGTTTTAGTTTACCCTGCGCCGAATCGATCTAAGCCTTGGATCGAAGGACCAAATCTTTGTGTTGAAAATCTGTGACCGTCTTATTAAATACACGGCAACTTTTAGGATTGAACCTAGATCGCATGGGTGGTAATTCAATGCTCTAGTCATTCGTAAATCACGACCTCAGAGTATAGGGAGGAAAATAAGAGTGCATAAGTTCCGCGGAGGACACTTCCTTAGTGCCTCGATGTCTTGGAATAACCTATGGTTTGGGTCGCTTTAACACAAGATTTTGTTGGGCTATCAAGTCCTTTGGGGTGCTCTGACACACAAATAAAGTAACACAGAGTAACATAAAGTAACACTAAACACGGACTTGTTTAACTGTGCAGGTTTGAACAACGGACCAGGATGGGTTCAACTTCATTTTGCAGTTGGAAGCTGAGAAGTCTGACTCGCAATCAGTTTGCAATCAGTCAGTTGCTAATTGCAAAATGTAGTCCGCATGTAGAAAAATGTGGATCAAACCATCATACTGGGATCGAGACAAGTAGAATGGACCCTTGGACAAGGTACGAATTTAAGCATTCTCATATATATTTCTTCAACAGACTTCCACGGAAAATGCGGTTCGCGATATGGTTTATTCTGATTGAATTTACCTAAATATATTGTTGGTAAATATAATGTGAGGTTATCCCTCTGGCTTTCAACGGCCTGGCTACATCACTTTAAAAAAGCCCGCCTTTGTTCGTCGAAAGTCGACGGAGTGAGATATCGCCTTCAAGTACCCGAGTAGGCAAAATTGGCTCGGTAGAGTTCGAATAGTGGTATCTGTGCTTATGCATTGTATTTTGCGATGAACGAAATTTTACTGTCCCCGCGTTGCCTTTTCAAGCCTATCCTCTTAAAAATATGTCATAAGGATATCGTCACATTCCGGCCAAAGTATCACAAGCGCCATGCGACATTTAAAAATTTCCGACGCCATTTTTGTTTTTTTACAGAGAAATTTTTGGTTGAATCTGTTTGAAAATTTCACTGAAATCTGCAGGCAGCACAAAGGAAATTCAGTGAAATTTTCGGACAGCTTCGTTGAAAAATGTCTCTGTAAGAAAATAAAATTGCGGCGAATATTTTGGAATGTCGCATGGCGTTTGTGAAACTTTGGCCGGAAGATAACGATGAACTAAATCCCAGCCTTGACAATGCTATACAGTGGACTCTCGATAATTCGAACCTCGATAATTCTAAAACCTCTCTAATTCGAAGGAAAGTCTGTTTCCCTTGAAAATCTCTCGATAATTCGAAAAAAATCAATCTTCAATCAATCATCCTCTCTACTTCGAAATTTCTCCACATGGAATCTCTTTAATCCGAACTCTCTTCATTTCGAAACCTCGCTAATTCGAAGAAAAAGCTGTTTCCCTTCAATTTCGAATTATCGAGAGTCCACTGTAAAAAGGAATCGAAAATTTTAAAACGCGGTGATCAATATGCGCAGTTTCGCAGTTTCTCCATCAATTTTTAAAGAATCGATTTATCCACCGTGCCTTGGCGTGTCCCTGAATTCAAACCGGATATTGCAGCACTTAAAGCAGACTAACTCTGTCCGTAGCACAGTCCCTAAATGTCAACCAAATTAATTACTTTTCCGAAAAGCCGCACAATTCAAGTTGATTGGCTGCGGAGAGCCGGGATGAAGTTGCGACTGCCTCCACGCTCAAGATGAATCGAGGACGTCAGATTCCGGGAAGTACCTCGAAGAGGTATTAAAGTTGAAAATATCTTATCGATCAGATCAAAGCGCCTTTTATTAGAACCTAGTTTTTGTTTGAAAGGAGAAAATTCCCCGGAACAAACTAGACGAAATTGAAATTTGTAGCTCAAGGGGAGACTTCACTCCGAGCTGACAGGAGTCAGAGAGGATCAAGGAGGCCAAAGGCAGGGGGAAGGGGGAGTTATACAACTTTGTTTGAAGCATTTTTCCGCCATCATCGTTCAATACATTCCGCGGACACTGGATGATGCCAATAAATTTTCTCTCGCGG